TGTTTATCCTTTATTTTATTTATTCGTATTTTTAGTATTTTTTTTTATTAAATATTGATTCGTGGTTTATGTGGCTTTCATTCGTGGTTTCCTTTTTCTATTTTTGAAAATTGCTCTTTGTATTTCTGTTTCAGTAGAAAACCCATTGTTTTGTCAGACGAAGTCACGCATTTAGTAGAAAAACTATTTTTAGTCAGACAATAATAAAATTTAAAAGTACAATAACAAATTTTCCATTGGGTCTAAAATTATTTTTTTAGTGGAAAATATATTGTACAATCAAAAGTTTAGATTATAAATAAAAAAATTCCGTAAATAGAAATTAAAAAAATTTTTTTTCACATTAATATTAATGAAAAAAAATCTGTCATTCGAAGAAAATTTTTTTAAAAATAAAATTAACGTGGAGGTAAAAATTTAGAAATGCAGAAAAAAAATTGAAAAGTAGAAAAATCGTTTATGGTCAGACAAGTAAAAAGAACAGGTAATAAAAACTTATCAGTGTCCCAGTAACAACGAAAATTTCTTAATATAATTTTGGAATTATAAAAGGTACTTATTATATTTATTGATTTAATAAATTATAATAATTAATAATTGGAAAATATTACAATAATAATTAACTAATCAATGGAATAATAATTATTGGAAAAACTAATCAAAAGTTCAAAAAACTATTGCATAAAAGATTTTTTTAATGCATAAATTATTTCTCTGCTCAAAAGTCATTCTTGGAATAAATCATCAGTTGAAAAGATTTTTTGTTTGTCAACTTGCGCGCGGGTTTAAATAAATAAATAATTGATTAATTAATAAATAATGAGACCTGACGAATGATAATTAAGGCAAACGTGGGAATTATAGTTTGCAATAATATTTGTAGGGCAATATACAAATCATGAGTGTATATCGATGACGAAGACGAGGTATACGATTAACAACAACTTAGGAGTGTGGGTCTCCATGCAGCGAAAGTGCAGGTATATATTCAGGTGATAGTCTCAATGCAGTCTCAGTGTAAAATCCCGCAGGCTAACATGAGCATCCCACAGGTGAGCTCTCGTCGTCCGAGAGGATGTTTAATTACAATTTTTGTGGTGGGGATGGGCCAACGCGCGAGAGACGAAAAATTAAAAAAAAAAAAAAAAAAAACCCCGAAAAAAGCACAGCAAAAAAACATCCAATTAATTTTTAAAAAGAAAATAAGCTGAGACATAAATAAATAAATAATAAATGATATAAAAGAAATAAAAATAAAAAAACAAAAATAAAAACAAAAAAAAATAAAATAAAATAACAAAAAGTAAAAAAAAAGTAAAAACATAAGTAGAACAGAATAAGTAAAAAATAAGTAGTAAAAATAATTAGTTAAAAACAATAATTAATAACAATAGTATAACAACAATAAAAAATATAAATAATAATTAATAAAAATATGAATAAATAATAGAAATGTATGCAAAAAGTTAATGAACCTTCAATAAAGTTAAAAAGATAAGAAATAAAAGAGTAATATTAATATTAAATATAAAATAATTAAATAATTAAACTTTCAATCAAAATTAAAAATAATAAAAATATGAGAGAAATACTAAATAAATAATTTACTAATTTATTTATAATAAATAGGAGTAAATAATAGCAAAGAATAATAATAAATAAATAATGAATGTAATAAGAAAATAGAAATAAATAATTATAAATGAATAAATAAAAAAATAAAAAATCGTGTTTTTAAAAACGAAAACAAGAGAAAGGAAATATTGTTATCTTCGAATTGTGCTACGAAAAATACAGTGTCAAGTGTTTAAATAAAATTCACAAATGAAATTAAAATTCTTTAATTAAATGTCACTCACCCTTAAATTGTATTTTTGAAAAAAATTAAAACTGTGGGCAAAAGATTTCAGGGAATCGGAAAAAAACTGTGAATCGAGATTTTTGAAAATTGGAGATTGGTTAAACTCTATAAATTTGAATTAGTAAATAGTCGTTCACTAATGGAAATCAGTGAAAATTTTTACTAATTCTTAGTAAAACTGTTATTTAAATTATGTTTAAATAATTTTTATTTAAATTATTTATAAATATTTTTTATTTAAATTATTTATAAATAATTTTTATTTCAATTATTTCAATATTTTAGTAAAATTTAAGTGGAAGGAAATTTTTTTTACTAATTTAAATTAGTGGACGACTTTTCGCTAATTAAAACTAAGGGAGAATTGTAAAAATAAATGATAATAAGGAATTAAAATTGCACTAAATAAAAATAGAAGTAATAATTATTTTTAATTTTAAAATGAGAGAAAAAGTGAATTATTATATTTTTTGTCGATGTTTAATATTGTGTTTACCAAATCATAGTGAGTTTTTAAAAATTGTGCTTGTCCAATATTATATTACTGTAAATAAATAAATGAATAAATACACAATTCATAATAATTATTTTTATTATTATTATTAATATTATTATTATTATTATTAGGTATTATTATTATTTTTATTAAATTTGTTTTAAGTAACAGCTTTTTAAAAAAGGTCTTTACTCTCTTTATGAAAAGTAATAGAATAAAATAATAATTAGGAAAAAATAATTAATAATTATTGTTATGAATTTTTATTATATTTTTTCCTTAAATCTTAGTTATTAAGAATATTAAGTAAAAGTGTTGTACTTCATTTCAAAAGTATTTTATGTTAACCAAAAAGAATATCAAAGATTTTTTACTTTTCTTATAAAATAAAAAGAAAATAATAAAATAAATTGTTATTATTTTCATTGTTATTATTATTATTAATTCGTTTACTGTAATTTCACAATTAGATTCACGTCGACGCTTTAGTTTAAGGTTAAATCTAGGACTTGTAGCAAAGATGTGATATAAATTGAATTAAAATATTTCACCAAGAAATTGTTATTGTTATTATTACTATTAGTATTATTACTAGCATTTCTGACAAAAATTTCTTTTTAAATAACTTAAATCTTGAACAATATATATATATATAATTAATTATTACAAAAAATGGATTTATAGAAGAGTTTTAGTTAAAAACATTAAAAAAATTAAATTTTTAAGAAGTTACAAATGATTGCAGAAATTTAATTATTTTCAAAATGAAAATAATAATAATTTATAATAATAATATAATAATTTATTCTTATCACAAAATTCAATTATGTTCAAAATTTACAAAAAAAATCTCGACAAATCCAAATTATTATCTTTATAAATAAAAAAATTCTTCTTCAAAATTTAATTATTTTCAAAAATTTTCCTCATTTCAATAATTTTTAATATCTATCATTTTAATAAAACTACCCAAAAGAAATCAATTATTTAAAAAAAATTTTAATAAAATTGCACGCAAACATTTAACTATTTGATAAATATTAAAAAATTTCGCAGGATTTCAATTATTTACAAATTTTTTATAAGTTTTTCTCAATAATTCAATTATTTTCATAGATAATAAAACTCATGTCAGAATTTCAATTATTTGTAATAGAATTTTAATCGAATTCCTTGAAAAATGTTACTATTCTTAAAAATTTTATTGAAATTCGTCAAAACAATTCAATTATTTAAAAATTTGGTAATAAAATTATTTATAAGAATTAAATTGATTTGAAAATGAATTTTAGTTTAAATTTTTGATAATAATTGAATATGAAAATAATTTTGATGAAGTTCCAGTTACAATATTATTATAATATGAAATAATTATTTTATCTCTCAAACATTTTTAATTATTATAAAAAATGAAGAAATAGATCACTCCGAGTCTTCGACTCGGAGCAATCGATATCTTTATGTTTTATAACAATATTTTCAATGCTGTTTAATATTTCAAAAAGGTTTAAATTTGAAAATTTTGAAAATCTTAATTCCTGTGGAAATATAATAAATAATTAAATTTTTTATTTAAAAAAGAAGTTATTGATTTCTTTAAATAATTTTGCAATTAAAGAAATTCGTTAATAAATGTAAAAGCCAATTTTTTTTTAATAAAAGTTTTTCCTTTATTTTTTAAAAATTCAAAAATTTTTAGTTTCATTTCCAGTTAAATTTTTTAATTAACAAATGTGACGCGCTCCCAAGAAAGGTACCTAAGAAGCAAACGAATTATAGGTTGGGTTCGAGTTAGATTTATCTTGACTAAAAGTTCATTTTTAATTATTTGAATTTGAAACCAATATTCATTGAATATTTTGAATATAGTGAAGACTTGAAGACCAACAATTTTTAATTAATAATTGATTCTCTTTTTGTATTTTTACTTACAAAATTTAAAACATAACCTCAAATTTTTTGCTTCTTAGGTACCTTTCTTGGGAGCGCGTCACAAATATAATTTATAAACATTTTTTCACTTTATTTTTAAAAAACTTTGAAATTTATTTTAAAAATTGAAATTGAAAAATAGAATTGGTGCACAAATTATTTCCTTACGAAAATTGAGAATTTTCTACAAAAATATTGAGAAACGGGAATATCTTATGTTTTTCTTCCCAAAAGAAAAAAATTAGTTTGTAAACAATATTGTTATTGAAAAATAAAAATTATGCATAAAATGGGTATATTTCCTACTTCTTAATCAAAATTTTATAACCATTAACAATTTTCTAGTATTTTTTATAAATAGAAAGGAGAATAATTTGCATAAGAATTTAGATCAGTCAAACGAAATTTGTTATAGAAAAAAGCATATAACAAACAAAATGGGTATATTTTTCATTTGTTAATAATTTTTTTAAAATTTTCTAATTTCTAATAATATTTTATTATAATTCATGAAAATATACCTGCATATTTTTTATTTGTCAAACAATATTTTTTAAAGAAAAAAAAAGCAAAAGCATACACAGAAACTAATTTTAAACTGCGGACAGAATGAATGAAAGAATACGAAGATTATTGTAGTTAATTATTATTATCATCATTATTACTATTATTATTATTAATAGTATTATTAATGAAAAAATCCTGTTTCAGAGAGTCGTGCTACTGGTGCTACTGGCTACAGCGGTGGTGGCCACTGAAATAAAAAAAGCCGATGACCTCAAGAACAAAAGAGGTTTGGATCATGGACTAGGTAACTTGGGCGGTCTCGGTGACCTTGGACACGGTGATCTCGGAGTTGGTTTGGGAGTTGGCGGTGGTCTCGGCGGCGACATCGTCGTTGGAGGAGGAGGAGTGGGTCTCGGCGTTGGTGTCGGCGGCGGTATTGGAGGCGGTGACAGAGGACGCATTTCCGGTATCACAATTCATCGTGAAGTCACTATTCCCGTACCACAACCCTACACAGTCGAACGACAAATTCCCGTTCCATATCCAGTTCACGTGAAAGTGCCCGTCGATAATCCAGTTCCATATCACGTGCCAAAACCATACGCCGTTCATGTCGAGAAGAAGGTGCCCGTCAAAGTACCCGTCAAGGTGCCCGTTCACATTGAAAAAGAAATTCCCGTACCAGTTAAGGTGCCCTACATTGTCAAGGAATCGTATCCAGTTTACGTCAAGGCTCACGATCACCACGATCTCAGTGGATTGAGTGGATTGAGTGGTTGGTCTGGTTTGGGTGGTCACGATTTGGGACACCTTTGAAATTGCTCATTTTACATCATTGATAACTAATAATAATAAGAATTAAAAAAAAAAAAAAATACAATGTCCAGCCGAGCAAATTCATTTGTAAATAAAAAAAAAATAATTTGCTGGATTTTTGAATGTAAAGAATAAGCGTTACGTTATAAGCTGTGCGTAAATTTGTCAGAGAGACTGTTTTTAGTGCAATGCTGTAAGTAAATTATTAATAACAAATTTTTTTTTGACGAGATTTTTTTTATTAAATAAATTTGCAGACCTTGTCCTTTTTTTCGATATTATTTCCTGTTAATCATTTCTTATTCCTTGTTTCCCTTTTGTTAGTTTCTTTTCTTTTGAATTTAGTTTTTTTTTTTGAAAATTTAGAAGATAATTGAGGGAAATTTTTAGAAGTTACTCAAATTCTATAGAATTACAAACAACTTGAGATTCAATATAGAGATGCTACTCTCCACCTGCGAACGCCAAGGTCACCGCTAGATGTCAGTTTAGTTCTTTCTTGGAATTTCTCCTGCCACCTGGTGGCGACCTTGGCGTTCTCAAGTGGAGAAATTAAACCACCATTTTATGCCTCAAAAAACTATTTTGTAATTAAAAAAATGTTATTATGAGAATAATTTAAATTGTTGTAAAAACATTCACTAAATTTGAACAGGGTTGACAGAAAATTTAATTTTGTTTTTCCCTGATTCCAGACAAAATTCTTACTTTTTCTCTGACCCTAAAGAATATTTTGATTCACTCTAAAAATAATTAGATACTCAAAAAAATGTTCCATTAAATTTATTTACGTATTTTTTTCATTGTAAAATTATTCGAAAACATCAGTAGTTTTATTTAAAAAAAATATTTAATAAATATTTTTCCATAGGAATTAAGATTTTCAAAAATTCCTAACTCAAACCTTTTTGAAATTAAACAACTTCTGAAAAAATTGTTATAAAACATGAAGAAATCGATCACTTCGAGTCTTTGACTCGAAGCAATCGATTTCTTCATGTTTTATAATTAAAGATGCTCGAGTGACAAAGTCATTATTTTATATTATAAGAATATTTTCCTTAAACTTCTTGAAAATTATTTTTATCATTTCAAAAAAAATTAATTCTTCAGAATTGTTAGATAAAAGTATAAAAAAATTCAGATTTTCAAAGATTTTAATTTGGGACGATTTCAAAATTCAATTATCATAAAATTTTAACAAAAATTCATTTTTAAATCAATTTTTCTTAGAAAATTCTACGAGAATTCAATTATTTGAATAGAAAAATAAATTTATGAATAATTGAATGTTTCTCAAAATTTAATTCATATATAGAACTTTATCATCAAATTTTTAAATAATTAAATTCTTTTGGCGAATTTTAATAAAATTTTTAGGAATAATTAATTTTTTCGAGGAATTTGATTAAATGTGTATTATAAATAATAGAAATTGTACGATAAATTTTATGATTTATGAAAATAATTGAATTCCTAAAAAGAATTTTCTTATTTACGAAAATAATTGAATTCCTGTATAAAAAATTTTGTGACTTGTAAAAATAATAGAATCTTTGCGAAGAAATTTATAGAAAATTTGTAAATAATTGAATACCTGTGAAATTTTTATTATTTATGAAAATAATAATGAAATGTTTGCATAGAATTTTATTAAAAATTTATTTGAATAGTTGAATTCTTATGGAAACATCGATACTGGAACTTCATCAAAATTATTTTCATATTCAATTATTATCAAAAATTTAAACTAAAATTCATTTTCAAATCAATTTAATTCTTATAAATAATTTTACTACCAAATTTTTAAATAATTGAATTGTTTTGACGAATTTTAATAATATTTTTAAGAATAGTAACATTTTTCCAGGAATTCGATTAAAATTGTATTAAAAATAATTGAAATACTGCGATGAGTTTTATTATCTATGAAAATAATTGAATTATTGAGAAAAATTTATAAAAAATTTGTAAATAATTGAATTCCAGTGAAATTTTTTATTATCAAATAATTAAATGTTTGCGTCTAATTTTATTAAAATTTTTTTTAAATAATTGATTTCTTTTGGGTTGTTTTATTAAAATAGTAGAGATATTGAAAATTATTGAAATGAGGAAATTTTTTGAAAATAATTGAAATTTAGACAAGAATTTGATTAAAATTTTTGAAAATAATAAAATTTATAAGAAGAATTTTTTTATTGATTAAAGATAATAATTGGAATTTTGTCGTGATTTTTTTTGTAAATTTTGAACATAATTGAATTTTGTGATAAAAATTTTATTACTTTTGAAAGTATGTAAATAGAATTTCTGCAATTATTCGTAATTTCTTAAAAATTGAATTTTTTCTAGTGTTTGTAACTAAAATTATACTATAATCCAAAGTTAAGAATTTTTTTATGAATTCTAAAAATTTAATTTTTTGCAATACTTTTAATAAAAATCCCTAACTTTTCCCTGACTTCCCTGACCAATTTTACTTTTCCCGATTTTTCCATGACCTGTGGCAACCCTGTTGAAATTTAGAAAAAGTGTTATTGAATGAAAATTGTTTTGATAAAAATCGCGCAAGTTTTGGAATTTTGAAAATAAAAAGTAGTATCAAATATTAACTCGTTAGTGACGCAAGGCATGAAACTGGTAATTTGGCTTTAAACGCAGAATGCTCTTGAAAATACTGACTGAGTAGCTAAGACTTCGAAGAGAACTGTTTAAGATATAAGCAGATTAACTTCAAAGGAAACGTGTTTAGTAAGGTTCAGAGGTCAAAAGGACTAAGGGGGCGTTGCATCTCAGTTTAATGTTGTCACTCTAATTATCAACTTCCGTCAGCATTCCAAACTCCTCGTTGTCGTTAAATTTTCGAAAGTCAAAATTTCAGAACTACTTTTGTAAATTTCAAAAATTTTCTTTTAAATATATTTCAATTTACAACTTTTACTTTTTGTAAACTGTTGTTTAAACAATTTTACAACTTAGAAATTATTTTGAATTACCCGTGAAATTAAAAAATGTTTATAAATTAAAATCTTATTACTTTAGAATAGGATAATTTCTTAAAATTCACTCAACAATGGAAAGTTTATTAAATCAGAATTCTTTCGAGAAAATTCTTTTTTCAATTTCAACACATTTTTTTTTTTTGACGATTATTTTTATTCCTTCTTCGTGTTTTTTTTTATTATTTCTTTCTCAAACTATCTTTGCGCTTAAGCCATCTATCCACTCTTTTGGTAGATAAACATCGGGATCAACGTAATACCGCAGCAAAGGAAGCACACGGCAATCTCGTGGAGGCAATTTTACTCTTTACGAGCAAACATAAAGAAACTTTTGCACACTTTTTTTTCTGCCCACAGAAGGATTCAAGTAGATTAAAAATTCTATGAGTATTAAAAAAAATGTGTCACAAAGATTCGTTAATAAATTCGTAAAGGAAAACAAAATTTATAGAGGTGAAATTTTTGTTTTTTGTACACGAATTTGATAAAAGTAGAAAAAACGTTAGGAGTCAAAGAGCTAAAAAATCGGGTGTATAATAATTCACAATTTTCGACGACATCTAGTGAAAGATAATTTTTTTCTCTTCTCAGCTCTAATGCACACTTATGGACAACGAAAAGCTTTCAGAAGATTTCGAATAATATATTTCTGAGTTCTTTTTTTTTTTTTGCTCGGAAAGTGCGCAGAACTTTCCATAACGAGCAACTGAACATTGATCTTTTTCTAAAAAGACGAAATTCAAAAAAAAAAAAAAAATAACAGATTTCCAGTTATATGTAACTTCAAGAGTTGCGAGATTTTCTCCTCAATGAAAATTTGCTTGAAAATATTTCACATCATTAACATTTTATTGTCAAGAAAAATTGCAGAAAATTTAACCTTTTTATTTTTTATGTTCTTATTAAAAATGTTAAAAATTAAAATATTTTCAAACAGCAAATCAATAATTTATAAATGTTAATTAATTGATGTATTTTTTCCATGTCTCATTAACAATAAGTTGAAAATTATAAATAATAAAGAATAAGTAAATGATAGATAATGAAATAAATAATAATTTTTTGACAACTATTTTTAATTTATTTAATATTCAATTATTCAATTATTCAATTATTTTACATTCATGCAGAAGAAACTCCCTCTTCATAAGCGCACAGAGTATAGAATACATTACATTCTTAAATATATAAATAATATGGGTTTGAAAATAAATTATCTCGTGTTTGAAGCATTAAAATCAGTATTCAGTGTGATCTATTTATGTATGACAAGAGCGTATGAAAAGCGGATTTCTCGAATACTGCGTGAAACTTTTGCAACGCGTGGATTGACTGGAAACATGTATGTCTAATCGATTTTACAGGAATTAATTAGTCATGCTGAACTGACGCAAAATAATGCCACTGAAAAAAAAATCACCAACACAACTACAATACAAGAGAATAATGAAAAAAAGGGAAAAATTGTTTTTGGCATGTTAATTGCCATTGCATAAATTCCTTCTACTTTGATAAACATTATTATAATTATTGATATAACAAAAGCCTCCTGTGGTTCATTAAAAACTTTATCGTATATGCCAAATGAAAAGGTTTTCTATTAGCCAAAAAAAAAAGAAAAAGAAATTTAAAAAATTGTGTTAACATTTAATTGTATGATAAGAGAAAAATTTTTCAACTTTTTTTAAAAATATTTTCATTCTTCAGTTATTATGAAAGTAGGTGAAAAAAATGTTTACATAATTAATCAACTGTTCAACTTTGTATATTGAAATGGAATTTCTCTTTAGTAAATAATTAACATTAATCTCCGTATTCTTTCATTTATTCTGTCCGCAGTTTGAAGATAGTTTTTGTGAATGTTTTTTTTTAAATATTGTTTGGCAAATCGAAAATATGCAGGTATTTTTTCATGAATTATAATAAAATAATATTTGAAATTAGAATATTTAAAAAAAATTATGATTAACAAGTGAAAAATATACCCATTTTGTTTGTTATATGCTTTATTCTATAACAAATTTCGTTTGACTGATCTAAATTATTATGCAAATTATTCTTCTTTTAATTTATAAAAAATACTAGAAAATTGTTAATTGTTAAAACATTTTTATTAAAAAGTAGGAAATATACTATTATATTAAATTTATTAATTCTCAATAACAATATTGTTTACAAACTCATTTTTTTTCTTTTGGGAAGAAAAACATTAGATATTTCCGTTTCTTAATATTTTTGTAGAAAATTCTCAATTTTCATAAAGAAATAATTTGCAT